GGTAGCCCAAAGCCACACAATTTGTCATTTATCTGTCCTACCAAAACTGCCATTTTGGGATATCCCTCATTTCCAGACATCCCCAAAGCCATATCGTTGGCTATTATCACATTCTTCTCCCACTAATTACTATAAAATGAACCCGTGCTATCCCCATTATTGAACTATTGTAGACACCCAATATACCTCCATTAAGTCAGCATGAAATCACCAGGAGAGCAAACCCAACCTGCTGAGTCTCCACGTTGCAGGGAGGGGAGCGATGTGGACACCTGGAGTGTTGTTGATTCATGGCTGTCCTCTGGTACAATGTGTATATATGATATATGATATATAATATATGATATATATTATGATACATAATATGTTAAATACAATATATAATATCTAATATATATATAACCTATAAAGTATAATGTATAATATATCATATATAATATGTAATATACAATATATTATATAGAATACATAATATATATATAATATATGATACAATATATTTAAAAAAATATATATATAATATATGATATATAATATGTTAAATACAATATGTAATATGTTAAATACAATATATGATATTTATTTTATATAATATATAAAATAATGTATAATATATCATAAATAATATGTAATATACAATATACTATCTATATTACATAATATATCATCTATATTGTGCAATTTTAAAGAAATAATAATAAACATAATATATAATATAAAATATAATATATATATAATATATTATATAATAGATAATATATATTATATATAATAAATAACATAAATATATATATTATAAAATAAATAATATAAAATATATAATATATCATATATAATATATAATGTAAAATATATAATATATAATAAATAATATATGATATATAATATAATATATAATAAAATATATAATATATAATGTATAATATATAATAAATATATAATTAGATATTCTATTTTATAATATTTATATATATATAATAATATTTTTATAATATATAATATATAATATGATATATAATATATATAATTCATAATATATAATATATAATTTACAATATCTAATATATAATATATAATATAAATATGAAATATACATATATAATATACATATATAATATATTATATATAATATAAAATATATAATGTGTAATATATAATTTATAATATACAATATAATATATATAATATATAATATATAATAATATTATTAACATTAATATCTTATTGTATTGTTCTATTTTAATTTAATATAATGTTAAGTTATATTATATCACCCTGGCATATTGCAGGGATGCCCACAAACCGTCAGATTTCCTCACATCTGTTGATGGTTGAATCATGTTCAAATTTGTTAAAATCCCCATTTCATGGCACATGTACCAACCCCAAGACAAAGGAAGGCCTTGGCTCTTCGGTTCACCGTGAAACCTGGAGACCTCAGAACGGCGGCTGTGGCAGACCTACACCCTTAGTTCATGTCTTGCTCAAGCCCCATGGTGCAAAAATGAGAAGCTCCCCGTCTTCCTTTGATTGCATCGTTTTGCTTCATGTCGTTTCGTGAAATCTGCTTGCTCCTGCTGTTGCTATGCAAGTGTTTCACATGAACTCATCAGCAAATGCTACTCAGAGGGAGTCAGATTCTGCTGCTGGATACCGTGAGTACCACGAGCTTGATGCAGTACATAGAGTATGGCGAGAGGAATTAAAAAACGAGAAGTTGTGTCTACCTTCCGAAGGGAAACTATGAACTCCGCAAGGGTCACACCCCCGGTCATAATGCAACTTGGTCACGGTTCCTCCAGAGTGGCGTCCGAATAGCCTCAGCCAAACAAATCAGTCAATGATCAACCAGTCATTGCCCAATGATGAACCTGACGCCTTGCTGATCAGCTGATATCAGCTGGAATCCTCCTAAAATCAGCGCTCGAAAATCTGAGTCCCTGGCTTACAGGCCCTTGTAACAACGGCAAAGGTGAGGACGGTGGCCGACTATCCTTGGCACTGCCAACATGGTGTGCCGCCAATGGCTGCGCTTTCTCTGAACATTGGTTACCCCCAATTCCACTCGAACATCAGATCTTTCATAAATCAGATGAGAAACCCCAAAATTCACAGCCAAAAATCAGGTCGATTCGAGTTGATTATGTATCCCATGATATCCCCATTAAATCACCTGGAAAAACCCGCAGGTCTCAGCGACCGGCATGAAGCCGACGGCTCGCGGAAGGCCTCCGGGTCAGCCCTCTCACCTGGACACGATTAGCTAAGCTGGTTTGTAATACCATATGACTAAGAAATGATATAATTATCGACCATAAACATCCATAGTTTTTTTAACCAACTTAGCTATCTTGGCACGACATTGTATGGTCTACAAATGTCTATCAAAAAAAGTTTCTGGATAGTATAGGCTACAAGTATAGTTTCTAGATGTTACATGTTTCTACTCAGCGAAAAACTCTGGTATCTATTTCCAAGCTGCCGGCCTGCCCCTCCCGTATTCGCAGAAGTTCGGACTGCAAGAGCGTTACCTGCAGTTGTGTGTCATTTCTGGGATGGATGCATTTCTAGGCATTTCTGCATGGTTCCATTGATCCAAGTTGATCCAAGTTTATCCATGCATCCCAAGCCATGCTCCTTTGATTCCATTGATTACCCAGCCTCTTGGCGTGAATCTTCATGAGCCTTGAGCTGCATCTTGTGCTCCTCGGGGTGGGTGCCCGTACTAGACCACTCGAAAGACGCAAAAGATCCTATGCGAAGATGGAACGCAGAGGAGCACAGGCCGTGTTACACAAATGTTAATTCAACCAACAAACGCATTAAAATGAAATCAGATAATAAAAAAAAAAACAGGCTGTTGTGGATGACCTGACCAAAAACATCCAACAACCAGGTATGTACATTTAAATCAGGGCAATGGTGCTGTTGCACATTGCGTTGGCGGAGGATGCGGAGGTGCACAGGACAAAAACATCAAACTGCACTGATGCCTCTGTGGTGTATCACCGTGCTACGGCGTCACTCAGAACACATCCCTGCTCATGACAAAAGTATGTTTCAAGACCTGGAAACAAACTTCTATAGTTTGTTCAATTCGGTTCAGGTCTTACATGTTTCAGCCCATGATTCGCTTGCAAGGGCATCTTGCCAAATGTAGTTTTAAGAGAAACCCACTGGCAACGCAGAGCTGCACAAATCTAATAATTTATTCTTTGACTGAGCTGCCCGTGCATCCAGTGAACACATGTTCCAAATCAAAATCTGCCAAGTGCTTATCCTGGTTTGTAAGAGATGGCTTTGTCTGAAAGTGGAATTATGCCCCCAAACCCACTGGTTTATCATCATTTCCCTATGAAATGTGTTTTTTGGCAGGTATTCCACATGCTCAGACAAATCAAAAAACATACTCTAGATATATGTATAGTATATACATTCACGTGTTCCTTGTTTACTTATGTATCTATTTCTGTATCATATGTATGTATGTGTGCAGATGCATGCATGCATGCATGCATGCATGCATGCATGCATGGATGGATGGATGGATGGATGTATGGATGTATTTATGTATGTATGGATGGATGTATGTACGTATTTATTTGTGTGTGTGTGAAAACTGCTAGTCACATGCAGTTCTAAGCATGCGTCAATCTTTTCAACAACATGCAAGGTGTGCCAGGGGATTGAGTGAAGCTGACACCAACAAAGACCTTCACTCTTTCCTGTGATATGGAAACGGGACGCCGTTTTCACGTACCTGCCAGGTTGGTTGTGATCACTTGTTATTCCTCGAGTCTGTTTCAGGTCAATTGAGGTCAGTTGGCTCTCAGTTTGCTGCAACGGCGTGGGGCTAAGCCAACAACACCCTGTGTTGGTTGCAGCTGATAATATGAATGGGCAGATCTAGGTTTGACGATCTTATTCTTCACCTGCCGATACTTCAGGATGATTTCCCCTAGTTTTGAGACCTCAAGCCATCGACCCCTACAACTTTACATGCCTCCAGTACCGTTACTCATACAGTTTAAACGTATTATGTATCCTATGTTCATATTCCATTTTTATACCCCCAACTATACCCCTCTCCTGGTGATATCACTATTGAATCAGCTGAGGTTTCGCAATTTCAGAGCCCATCCTCTTGAAGCGTCTCAAACGCCTTCCTGAGGAGGGCCTGACGGTTTCACCAACTTTCAGTGAAACCTGGGGAAAATGGTGATTCATTGTTCATTTAATGGGGATATCATCGGGATAGAATGGGGGTACAATGGGAGACGTATATGTATATATATACATATATATATATGCATATATATATATATATTTATATAACCAAGTTTAACCAAGTCTATATGTTTTTGGGTGCGTCTGAAAATGTGGTACACCCCCAAACTTGCTATTTCATGCGGGAAATTATGATTAATCAGTGGATGGAACGGGGTACCCGGGTACCCTATTTTCAAACAAAGCCACACGGGAAGATCACCGAGTACGATGGTACCGCGCGTACTTGAATGTTCCACTGTAAGAAAATGTCCAGATCTCAGGCCAATGTGGAGTGAATTCAATCTAAGTATTTCCAACTCTGCCAAGAAGAAATGCTGAAGTTGGGTGGAAATACAGTTGGAAAATGTTGGAAATACCAGAAAATCCTCCCATCTACTTCCGACCTCCCCCGACTTGCACTCATCCAGCTGCTGTAAGGCTTCATCCAGGTGCTCCTTGCCGCTGGAACAGGCTGGAACCGGAGTGGGAACAAATGGAGCACATGGAAAGCTGATGAAAGCTGGACAGCCAATCACCATATATTATATATATATTCAGTGATCACCATCTATTATATTGAAGATTGATGTATCTTGACTTAATGGTGATGGATTCAAGATTCAAGATACATCAAGTGTCAACCCATCACCATTCTTCCGTGCCATCCCCCATATCCCCCATATCCCCGGGCTGCAGGCCGCAGCTTTTGACGTGCAGACCATGGGAACCGGTCTGCATCTCTTTGCACATAATGAGACGCAACTGCTCTAGGCATCAACTGTCCAGAAGCTGGCCGTGAACCTGCCCACACACGCTCCTCTGTGCTCGTCAGTGACAGCTCCATGGTTGGGACGAGCCTCTTGTCAGCTTCCCCAAGGCCACCCTAGCAATATATAAGCTCTAGTCAGCTGGGTAATGGCCATTGTGACCCAAAGCCACGGTGAGACACTGCAGTGAGGAGGTCATGGGCATTCAACATCCTCAAGGCTCCGCTGACGCTCAGTTGGAAATCCTTTCCAGGAAAAGCCATGAAAAACCTAGGGCTTAGGCACAAAATGAGAAGATATAGGAAGATATAGGAAGATCTCAGGTCTGGAACTTTGAGAGGGTTGCAGATCCCGCTAGACATTTGATACTGAGGATGTCTGGCAACGGAGAGCCTGGACAGACAGGACAGTTGTGGTTGCAACTTGTTTACAACCACAGCAGCCGCATCTTTGAAACTTCTGATTACACAGACACAACGCGTCATCCCTTTGCTCAAAGTTTCTTGAACCAGAGTGACCTATCGTCCCTCGGGCGTCACTTTGCAGATTTCACCTGGGAGATGAGAGAAAAACCCATCAGAAACGTAGCTCATCCTGGGGATACTGCAAACATTCAATTGAGAAAGGCTGATAAAGGCGTATCTAAACAAGCCTATTTCGATAAGAACTGACAAAGTGCTGAAGGGATGGGACACTGAATTTCGGTAAAGTGCAGACCAAACGCCCGCTTCCAGCTGGCACGCTGCCACTTCTCTGGCCTCTGCCAGAAACGCAGATCCGCAGATGCGTTTGGGAGACCATGGAGGCAGGATAACTGCGCGGTGGATCTCTGTACAATCCAGAGGTGGTGTGGCGTTGCCTAAAGTGCTTCGTCTCTCAAAAAACTCAACGCCAATGCGTCACTTTGTTGATTTTGTTGTGTTGTTATGTTTGTTGCAAGTCCTTGCCATTCCCAGGTGGATTCTCGATGATTCTCGATTCTCATCATTTCTCGTCCATATCGCAAGACTATCGCAAGCACTCAAGAACGCCAGCGGGGGCTCGGGTCCCCCGCGGAACAAGAGCTTAGAATTTGTTTCCCAGACCTTGTTCCCCGACCAAAACTACCTAAGACCTACCTAACCCTACTACTCAACATACAATGGCTTCATGCCATCCACCGTCTTGGATGCCCCAGAGCGAACTGGCAGAACGGTTTCAATTTAAGCCCAACCATAAACAAAACATAACAAAACAATTGAGGCTGCGTAAGTCTAAACCTTGCCAGTCAAAACCGTCATCTGTCCATGCCAGATTCAGTCCACGGCCCAAAGACTGGATCATAATATACATTGACATATCGACATGTAAACTTTCCAGCCACTCACTCTGTGAATCCCATCTTCAAAGCCTCGAGGGCTGCCTGAATCTTCTTCTCCTTCCTGCAGGGGCAGAGGAGCATTAAACGGCGGAAGCTCATGCGGCGTAGGAGGCATCGTAATTGGTTGAGCTTCCAACTCGGGATTCGGTTCGTCCCCTTGGTGGCCGGCAACGACGCCAAGTGCTGTTCCACCAACACAAGCACTTCTTGGGCGGAAACATTGGACTTGGCATGCGCCCACAATTCGGGAAGCATCAGGTTCAATAGCTCTCTCTCACTCATGGCGTGCAAAATCTCCCGCTGCCGCTTGTCCAGCTTCACACTTTGAACATGAGGCAAATGACAGTAGTCACACTCTGCACCCTTGGGACAACCTCCAGGGAGCTTCATGAAGAGACAAGGCCTCCGACAGAATTCTGGATGTCCGAAGGACCCTTTGGATGCGGCGGATGATGTCAGAAAGGATAATGCAAAGGCACGGCCCGGCAGCGTGGAGACGTAGTCCTTCTCAGACATGTGTCGATCTGAGCCATATGCCTCGCCACCTGAGTGCAGTCTTTTCCAATTTTGTTTCTGGTGGTCGGTTGGGTGCGGGATTCCCGATTTGTATGTGATTGTAGCATCGTTGCTTGCAATCTAAAACAATCTAAAACAATGGGGGACATGGGGGTCCCTGTGAAACGCGATTAAGCACGGCAGGTACTTCAACCATTTCACACTTCAGCTTGCCCAATCAACTCCACCCCATGCTGGGCTATCTTGGGGTCCACCAAAACTCACCCATCCGCCTGGAGGACAGCTTTGGGAGCGCGTGGCATGCATCGGTTCCTTCTCCTTCACAGAGATGAAGGTGGAGGCATAGTAGCAAATCTCCGGCATCGCGGACGACCTATGCCGACCAATGGAAAAGGTGCGACGTCGCTGTCAACGGCGCAATCTTGAAGGGACACCGAGAGATTTGTGCGCCGCGTCAGTTCCTAGGCTCCCGTAGAAAATGGAACCTCAATGCAACGGACATCTCCGAAATATCTCAAAGCCTGACACATCCAGGGACAAGACCAGCCAAGCCAAATCAATAGTCCAAAGATTAGTCCAAAGATTAGTCCAAAGATTAGTCCAAAGAGATTAAAGTCTGTCCCACCTGCAGACTTCTCTAAAAGTCATGAGCCAAGAGCAAAACGATGCCACCCATTTATGGCCCCACAAAAGCCCAGAGTCTCCTTGGTCACTTGCACTTCCTGGCGTGCAAGCATTCATGCAATGATTTGCAGCATCAACTGTGCCAACTTCAACTCTTCCTTCCAAGTCCACCAAGCCCTTCACAAACGCACTCGAAATTTACATTGACAACCGTGACCACTTCTCAATCTGTGATTTTAACATGTATCAACCCATTTGCACAGCGCACTGCTTGTCCACATGCAGGAAAGGCCACGGTGGATTCAGCCAGCTTGTCCTGCGACGCAAAATAAGGCTCATGCCATTCTCTGAAAGGTTCATCATTGAGAAAAAAAACAGAGCATATTAATATAATAATATAAAAATGTGTAATACATGTTAATATAGTCTAGAAAAGGGATTGAATCAATTGAACATGATCTTTGCAACGATCCACAAGATCCACACTGCATCAGGTCATGCTCGCAGTCCCATGCAGCCACCCTGGCTCCTCCAAGCGAAGAAAGTCACAGCGCAGTTGCAGGAGCTTAGCTTCGCCATTGGAGACAGACAGCTGTAACTCCTGGAGCTTTTCAGGAGCTCTTTAATCTGGTAAACCCAATAATAAACTTAATAAACCATCCCCAAAAACAATCCCCAAACGATTAGTTTATGTACTATTGGGTTGCCAACAATATCCAACAATACCGTTGAAACCATGTGGTTTTTGACCCCCCCCCAATGTTTTAGGTTCGATCTCGATTTGTCCCCTTGAGCTAGTTGTGGTATAAAGGAAATTGGGTAGTCCCAAAGGTATTGATATAAGTTTCACAGCACGTGAATTCAAACCATGATACACTATAACATGTCAGTCTCTAATTGTTAATTCAAGGGGGAAAACTGGGAGAACACGTTCTTATTGCAGACATTCACCAGAACAGGAATGGCTTGAAGAGTCCCTTGAATTCCTGATAGGAACATAGATAGACTCACGTTGAAAGATAGCAATCCTGGTACATGAAATTCGATCTCGTGCAGAAGTTTTAAGCCCTGCTCACAAAGTTGCTGTCCTCACACCTCTGAAAGACATCGCTAAGCTCAACCTGCAGCTCAAGGACTCATTAACACCTGAAGATAAAACAAGAGTCAGGAACTTAAAAGCTCTAAGGCTCAAGTTTTCTCTAGAAGAGGTAGCAACGGGCAAACAGGAAATTTGAAAAGGTGGCTAAAGTGGCTGGGTACCGGTTCCACCTCCGTGTTGATACCCACATCCTCGGTCTCGGCACCGTAGCCTGAACCAAATAGGACTCCCCAAAATCTCAGTTGCATCCCGTTGACATGCTCATTCCGGCGATTTGTTGATCCACTTCAGGCCTGCAAAGAGCCCGCACTGCGCGGCATAGTCTTGCAAGGCCAAAATGGTCGCTGAGGCATCTTCTGTAGGATCTCTCAACTCTCGAATCCTTGGAGCCAAGAAACGGATCGACTGATGTGGTCTCGATATGTCTGCATCAATGTTCAAAAACGACATTGTGAAATTGTTAATGGTGAAGCCAAGAATAGACCCCAATGGCTCAACTTTTTCACTGGATCATGACATTGTATGAAGTCCCGAAATGTCTAAAAGTCAATCAGCTCGAATTTTGGATGGATTTACCACATTTCTGAGCTATTGAGGACACCACTTTTCCCAAACAAGGCCATAGACCAAATCCTTCTGATCCTGTCAGCTGAAGTTGGGCGAAGCAACTCCCCGAATGCATTCAGGGTATTTAGTTTTATTTCACGCCAGCCAAAAAGGCGTTCTGCTCTCAACACCGTGAAACGGTTTCTCATGTTTCTCCAAGAGAGCAGCCCAAATCCCACCCCATTGGGTTTACAACCATCTTCCCATGGCTGTTTGGGTGATGTCCTGACCCATGTCCTCCATCGAAGGAGACTCAAGCGAGGACCTGCCAGGTGGCATACGATACCTCAATTTATGGCCGTTTCAACTGTTTCAACATGGAAAATGATGATAACCGCCGGATAACCTATGCTGAACTGCTGGATTTGGGTGGTGTCTATTTTCAGACTAAGCCATTTCAAGCATCAACAGCTTACTTCAAGCTCTTGGAGACGATGCTTGCAGCACATCTGAAACTAAAGGAGGTGCATAACAGGCATGGAAGGTGGCCATTCAAAGGATCTTGGTGAATCCTGCATGCTAACAATTTCAGAACAAACATCAGAATGGCCACATTTTTAACCACAAAAAAACTCAGAAACTCCAGCCTTGATGGTGCGTCAACAGCATCCTGGAATGCAGCGGGGGTCAACTGTAGTTCTTTGCTGTTTTGAAGTCACACTTTCAAATTTGCACTACGTGATGTGTCTCATACAGATAGATCTAAAACCGCATATACACGGAGAATCTGGTCCCCAATGCGACAGTGCGTCTAAGATTGGGTTGCGGCTTACAGGCAACTTCTATGAAATGATAAAATCATGAAACAAATTTAAAAAAATCAAAGAAAAACAAAATACCCAATCCAAACCTGATTTAGAACAAAAAACAATCAGAACAGCACAAGAAAATGCCAAACAAAACACATACACCAAAAAAAAAAGCAACATAAAAACAAAACCAAAAGAAAATCCAGTATACAGTACATTTATATGTGGTTGCTGTTTGTTTGCTCTTTTCTTGCATGTGTTCCCTTCTTGTCGTTTTTTGTTCACTCTTTTTTCGCGTTTGTTGTGTTTTTTCCTCAGGTGTTTTACATGTTCGAAGATCCTGGTCACCAGGTCACCTGCGAAAGAAAAAGAACGGGAAAAAAAGAAAACAAAAGCAACCACATGTAAATGTATTCTGGATTTGTTTTGTTTTGTTTTGTTTTGTTTTTCTTTTGTTGTTTTTGGTCTTCAAAATAGTCGTTTGGTTTTTGTTTTGCTTTTGTTTGTGTTTTTCTTCAAACAGTGATGTGTTTTTTGCATTAGTTTTCTTTTTTTGTACTGTATTTGCTTGAATCCTAAGAAGTAGGCCTAAGGCACTTCACAACTCTAAGAAGTCGCCGATATGTTCTGGAATATCATCGCTGTTGAGTAGATAGACCCTGCCACAATAATTTCGCAAGAAAAAGAAAGTTAACTGAACCCGGGCCTGTGCTACCATATGCTTCACATTCCTTGGCTCAAGCAGCACTAACTTTTTGCCAGAAACTCGGTGCATCACATCAACTGGTCTCATGTTTCTGCCATCAGGTACCGCTGATGCCAAGCTGAAAACTCAGGGAAATCAGGGAAATCAGCCAAGCCACATGAGATTGACTTGGGATAGTCGCCGCTTCAAGTGATCGACTTCAGCTCTTGCTGCGATCAGCAAGGTGTGGCAGTCTACGGCCTTCCATGGTCAGCTCGGTTGGTTAAACCCGTGGGAACTTGGTGTTTCACATAAGTCGCGGTGACGCTGTTTGCCCACTGGCCGATGGCAGGAGTCGAAGCATCTTACTATGACATATAATGTATACTGCATATGACCTTTTCAAATCACTATTTATTGTGGAATATATGGGGGAAAAAAATCGGGTCTCTGACAGTGGCCCACACCGATGCATCCGATGTATCCGCTCCTCTATAGCCTCTGCCCAGCAAAGCTTGCAAAGTCGCTCGATGCAGCCTTCTACTACCTCACGCCTCGCGATGGATAAGATGGGCAAGATCACACTGTCGCACCATTGCCATGCTATTTTGAGTGCGTTCTGTGCAACCATGTGCAATACACGAATTGATCTCAATCTCCCAGAGGAATGGTCAGCAACATATATATATATAATATATATAATATAATATAATATAATATGATATGATATAATATAATGTAATATAATATAATATAATATAATAATATATATATATAATATAATAATATATATAATATATAATGTATATAATGTATAAATATAATATTATATTTATATATATACGTATATTATATTATATAATCTTCACAAGGGCTTTCGAAATATTGATGGCCAATGTCTCCAAAAAAGGAAAAAACCTGGCATATGCGTTGTGCTGTTTCCTTCCAGCAAACGAGGGTTGAAGGCAATCCTGCAAACATACATTGGCATATTCCGCCTGAAGATTATATTACCGAACATCAAACGGCTCACAAGTGACGAATGAAGCTGCTCATGGTTCGTCACAACATACAAAAGCAACGGTAATACACCTCATGTCAACCCAGGATCGACAACTCCTCTCTTTTTGATTGAAAAATAATAATAATAACTTTACTATATAATACTGATTGGGGGTTAACATAATTGGTCCGTGTGTCTATGTCCAATTCATTGACTTGCATCATACAAATTCTACTATTCAGGAGAGTCAAAAAGGTGTGCGAAGGAAAATCTCTGCGAGCGCAGACAACTCTGACAGCAGGCCGCACCTTCCAGTCTCATTCGACAGCTCGGAGCACAAGCCTCGAAGAAAGTGCCACAAAGCAGTCTGGTTGGTTTTTTTAACCTCCCTGAAAAATACGAATCAATTGAAATGTCAGTTGGGATAATCCCAAATAGGGAAATCATTGAAATCACCAACCAGCAGCTCTTACCTCGTCTTTTGAACTTGCGTTCGTGGGGTTAGTTTCGCCGACGGGACTGGGATTGGCGGCCCTGCACCTGACAGCATCATGCCAAGTGACGCATCAGCGCCTCGCTTTCTTGCAAGCTGCTCCAGTACGCCGACTCCTACGTTGAGCTTTGGGTTTCTTGGGAGTCGACAGCGTAGACAAAAGAGGTTCTACTGATTCTACTGGAAAAGCTAGCCGTTGAGCCGTTGGAGTTGCGCTACCCTTCTCCAGCCCTTTCTTTCCTCGCTTTCCTCGCCCCTCCTGTGCGTACATAGAGATACTAAAGGGATCCGTCTCTTCCCATGGGATCGGAGCCTCAAAGGTTTGCAAATGAGAGGCAGCCTCTTGCCGAGGTGTAAAATACGGTCAAGTTGAAATTAAAAGTGACTCAAACAATGACTCATAGAATGCATCAAGCCATTACAGTATAAGATATTATAAGTTCCCAATCTCTGCCGATTGGTGATCAGTCTTGGCCAGCTACGTGGAAATCCATGTTTCCTCATGGCTTCATTTGGATCCATGTGAATCGAAGTCATGTAAACCATGGATTGCATGAAAGGAAACCATGCACAGGGAGTGCCTCAACTCAAAATATATCCTCCCGTGAAACTGCTCAATAAATGATAACAAATGAGGATCTTATATAATAGGAAATCCTCCATAAATCCATGCATGTGTCTTTAAACTGCAGCTGTTGACTACCAGAGGATACAGTCTCATCCACTTCCACACCATCTGGGGTCTGCGTGCCATCACGGCCAGGAGCACCTTCCACAACGTGTGGGTCATTGGACTAGACACTGGAAAGATTCCAAAAGCCGAGAGACATGGATTGAAAGATTGCAGACATTTTTGCAGAGCTGGAAGTGCTGATATGTTCGCACCCAAATTTCGATCCACGCCTTGCAGATGACACCTGCAAGCTAGAGCCTCAAAGCGGGCTCCGAAGTTCACATGTCATACTTGGTGATAAGAGGTGCCCAAGGGCATCAATGAACATCAAGCCTGAGTCAGCCTGAGGTGTCCAAACTTATCCAACGTTCATCAATTTTCCGTTGGAGCTTGGTGAGGCTAAGACAAGGACCCCTCCAATGGCCCAGTGGGCGTAGGACTGCCGTCACTGTTCTATCTATGTCTACAACTTTCAGCTGTCCGTTGATGATGGATACACCCCATCTGACTGGTTGACGTATTTTTCTATGGCTTTCACCACCCTGGTGACTTTGCAAGAGGCTTTGCATTGAATTTCAGATTCCTTGCTCGGCGCAACGAGACTGAAATTAGAAGTAAGACAAACTAAAACTGGTACAACCACCTTATCACCAAAGCTGCAGCTGAGCCAAAAGTGCAAGGCGGCAAACCAAAGGAGCCAAATTAGGTGACGGATTGCTGCTGATGAGTTCTTGACAGGTACGAGTACAGACCAGTGCATTGTCTTGTATTCCTTTGGGCAACCTATAGTTTATTGATGTTTATTGTGCGGACTGCTCCTCAAGATACAAAAATAGAGTAATTAAGTAGTAACATGTAGTAACTAAGTGGTACCCCTTTTGACCCCATCGGGAATGTCAAGCCACTCGCCTCCGCACGGATGTCAATGATCTTGCGTATTTCCCGTTGCGTATACTTGCCACTGGGAGCGTCCTTGCGCTCGCCCAGTGAGCTCTCTTCGCCAAACAGAAACTATAGTCGCCGTGATAGGCTGAAAGTGTAAATCCCAGGGGTTCAACTGAAAAATCATGTATAAATCATGTATAAATCATGTAGAAGGTCAGGTTCCGCATCAGTTCTTTCAGGATTCAAGCAGTGCCAGTGCTGCGGCTGGGTGGAGATGATCAGCATACGGTCCAGCAGGTCGAGGGGAATACCTCAGCGGCTCAGCGGATTCGGCAGACCATTAAGGACAAACCAACCTTTCAAGTCTGAAAAGAATTGGAAGATGAAGGCATGGAGTAGCCCGAGTCTAAAGTATCAGGTGGGTCACCATGCGGACTCTTGTAGTCTGTGCCCCGAATGTTGGTGATACCGCGATTCGTGGCCATGATCACGATGGGCGCAGAGTCAGCCTTCGCAGGGTGTTGAGCCACCAGCTTTACCCGCTTTGTTTCTTCACAGCATGTTTCTTATCATGCAATCAGGCAACAAACTGTTTATTGATTATGTGATGTGTACAAGTGTCTTCTCGGCACAAACCTCTTAGCCTTCATGCTAGCATGGGGGCCACACAGTAGCTGAGTTTTTCAGAAAGAGCAGGTCCGAAAAAGCTTGAACTAGGCAACAAACCTGTTGGTGGACCTAAAGAGAATATTTTTTTGAGATCTGCTTGTTGGTTTGTCGGGATCTTTTGTCATCCATGATTCCATGATGCATTAGCGAAATTCCCCAAAATGGTATATACTTGGTAGCAGAAGCATAATCACCAATCGACAACTACAACAACTATCATCGGGGACTTGGCCCAATGCTCAGCTGTGCTTGGCAAACGAGGCCGCAACATGCTGCCATGTTTTGGCGCATCAGCAAAAGCAAATCACAGATGTCACAATCATTTTCGAGCACTCGGGCAGAGCGTCCATGAAATGAGTTGATGATCTCTGCAAGAGATTCTTCTGCCACTTCTGCCGTTTGTTGACACAAAGTCTGGGGCAATCGTGGTTAATTTGCTGCACTTTCTGCACAACAAAATAGCACAAGATACTGTGCTCATGAGTCGTTGTGAATTGGAGCAGAGTCCTCTTGAAATCTGGTTTGTATTGATATCTATTGACATGATGAATCATTTGCGCATCGTCACATCGCAGATATTCGGAGTCCATGTGATCATCACCTCATGCGATGGTCCTGGCAATGAGACTTCAGGAGATCATTCACTTCGTCTTATCTTTCACATCCTGGGCTGCATCGACTGTTAGCCAGGCAAGTCTTCCAGGTGTTCATGATCAGACTCATAAGACTCATACATGATACATGTAGGAGTAAACACGGTATGCAGAAATATGATGAAATATGCAGAAGATTCTTCTATTCTGCATATATTCTGCATATATTCTACATATATTCTGCATCTTTCTGCATAATCCTACCGTGAATGTCATTGACCCGGTCAAGTCGAGACCGTCCAAAAGGTACCAAAGTAGACGGCTTCAAATCTGTCCCCTCGCGCACTAAGCCAAGAACTGGTTCCGAATCCGAGCTGCCCTTGGAAGAGCAAGCAGGCAATTCGGTACGCACCATAGTGACCACAAGATTTGGGTTTACCGGAGTTTACCATGGTTTGCCGAACAATGCAATTTCCACTTTAATCCACTTTAATTCCTCTCAGCTGACTGATTCGCAGACAGTTGCCCCCTGCGCGATGTTTGAAAGTCTCTCCTTTTCACTCGAACCCCTGTTCCATGTCACATCTCTCTTCACTACAAGCGTCATCTCCACTCGTTCGATGCACCCTAAAAACGTTGCGAAATCGCAGGGCGCACCTCGTACTCACGGCCCGCCTCATGTCCAGCAGTGCCACGGATTAGTCGCACAAGGATGCGAAGGAAGAGGCCATACCAATACCTTCATTCAAACACAGGATGATGTGGATATGGCATAGTGTGGCATGTATAGCTAACTGCAGGCCATAAACCTAGCCACAAACCCAGCCATTCTCAGAACTGCTTCTGACCGGAGGTGCATGAAACATCATGAAACCGTGTTTTCCATGCAGCAAGTGGCAGGGAAGCAAAGCTGAAGATCAAGGGGATCGGGAGCATTGGGAGCGAAGTTTATGAGATCCGTGGATTCTGTTTGTTACCTGGGAGATATTTTTCTGGATGTACCTCCCGGCATCCATTGTCAAAATGTCGCTGTGGGTAGGGCCTGCCAGGCTGCAAGGCCTACCCCCACTGCGGGAAAAACTCGTTGAAAACTCTTTGAAAAATAGAATAGAGCGAGTTCACGAGCAACAGAGCGACCTTTGAAACTTAGTCAAAGAGCCGTCTGGAGTGGACCAGAAAAAACAACACCCGAGAGCCAAGACCGTCGACATTGCAACCAAAGAAATGCGATCAGTCCGCTAATACATTTGTCAAAAGCAAAGTGCTCGGAGAAGATACAAGTAGCATTGTTTCGCGAACAAGCTCACTTCGGAGCTTGACCTTGAATGCTTCTCTCGATATGTTTGCTCTTGTTTGCTTGGTTTGGAACTTGAAGCAACACTTCCTGCAATGGCGTGCGGATCCGACATAAAACACAGTGGCTTAAAGGGTGGGCTCAAATCAAACAATGATTCCATGCCAAGCATTGTAAGCTCATTCTCTCAGAAAAGCATTGTAAGTCACGGGGTCCTGTCAACCCACAGAGGGCCCACGAAACTCCTAGGATTCTGTACAGCAATCTATGCAAACGTTTGACAAACACTGAAGGAAGATAAAGGAAGGGTACAAAAAATATTATAATGTAATCTTGCCTCTAGAAAGCCAGCCAACTCATTTGGCTAGTCAGTTCTGAGCAAAATACCAACTTTCTGCAGGTTTACGCTTCCACCAGCTCTGATTCTGAGAGGTCTGATGATTCTGATGTCCATTCCATGGCAAAAATCTCAGCGGCACTGGGACGGGACATCTCGTCCACACACAAGCAGTGGGAGACCACTGCCTTGCACGCTGGAGTGCAGTTGCGCAAGTGCTGCCACTTCACTGGGTAAGATCGTTGCGCAGAAGCAAAAGCTTCAAGGCTGCTGAAACTGTGGAGCCTTTGCGGCAAACGAGCACTCAACATCATGTGCAGGCACAAACCGCAGCCCCACACATCCTGTCCGTGCGAGGGAGAATTTCCATCAAGGACCTCTGGTGCTGAATACTCCATAGTCCCAGTCATGGTCAAAGCGCCTCCATCGTGAACAGCTTTCGCAGTATTGAAGTCGGCCAGGTGCATGTTTTGATGATTTGGAGACACCAAAATGTTCTCCGCCTTGATATCTCTGTGCAACACCCTTTGCTGATGGAGGTAGCTGATGGCCGACATCAACTGGTGAAAGAGCCGTCTGGCAATCCTCTCTGGAAAGGCCTGTCCTTTCACTGCAAGATCAAGTGACTGCCCCGGATGGTAACTGAGAACCACTGCAGCCTGGAAATCAGACTGAAGGAAGTCCAGGGCTTTGACGAGGTGCGGATGGCTCAACCTAGAAAGTCGCATCTGAAACCAAAGCAAGGAGTCTTACATACCAGCAGCATTGAATAGCTAAGGCAGCGAAGGGGGGTTCTTCGCTTGTGTCCACAACTTTGCCAGTGCCAACGTACAAAATGCATTGAAATGCATTAAATGCATCGTGGGTCCAAATGCATGGAGAAATGCAAAATCTGCCTGGACATTTGAATCGCCGAGAAGCGTAGAGAGGATGTCGAATTCACGTCTGCGCCCACGAAGCTCTTCTTCATCATTTGCCTGCATGATTTTAATGGCGACCTCTACACCATCAGGCTTCCTGGGCAGGCTGTCACCATCTTGACATGTGCTGTGGAAAAACATCTGAAGCAAGGCCTGAATCTAACCCAGTGACCTTCCTTGGAAAAGATTCATGACTGCCCATTTATCCCAAAGCTTGCTGCGCCTTTTTGGGTAGGAGAAAAAATACAATATATATATAATAAAGCATTGATTACTGTATCTCGAATTGATCTACTTTCTTCTCCCAGCGCTGCTTTTAATAAAAACCTCCTGCCTGGCACGCAGCACTTTGCCTGCTGCTCCTTGCCCCAACACTTCTAGAACATCATACTCGCTGGGTAGTTGCACTCGGCGCTGAGAGGTTCTGAAATTGTGCAGGTTTGGACAAGATATGAATGGGACAGCCCCAAATTCACTGCACGACGTCGAGCTGGAACATGATCTCTCCAAGGCGTCTTTGCTGTAAACTGAGCACCTTCGCACAGACAAAGAAAGCGGCATATGCCTGAACCATCAAACATACATCAAGCACCTCCAAAAGACCCCAAGACTGCGAGTACCAAGCATGTCCGTGAGTTTGACATAGTTTGTGCGTCTGTGTTAATTTCTATATGTGCATGTGTTTTTTGTGTGCCATAGTGTGCGGTAGTGTGCCAAAGCCTACAATGTGCCTTTGCAACGTTGTGGGAGAAAATGGCAGCAAAGGCGTTACAAGGAACCCGAACAACGGGGAAAAAGAAAGCAATTGGTGCCTTGGGAAAGCGTCCAATTGAGGATTGCCGCTCTGGCGACGCTTCCACAGCGCCGACATGCTGTGGCTGCTTTCAATGCGACCTGCTGTGCACAGTAAAGTTCCTTGAGCCAGTGTGCCTGCGAACACAAAGCCTTGAGAACGTGGATGCAACGGCACAATTGCTCCTCTTGCACCTCAAGTGATCCACCCACCTGAAGTACATGACACAGCCGCAGTTCCCACCGAGCTACAAGTGCATCAGGCTGAGCACCACCAGTAAGACTCGGCAGGCATTCTGTGGACTCACCAGTGGTGCTGGTAGGTCGTAGTCACCTCAGTCACCAGAACCCCCCTCGGCTTGGGCCTGCATTGGGCCCCATTCGGCCCCCATTGGGCCCCCATTTGGCCCTTTTTGTTCCAAGCCAGTCACGGCTCTGAAACAAGGACCAAACCCAACCACCAACCACGAAACATTGGCATCGAGTGGCCCCAGCCAGGGAAAAAAAAGTCCTTGGGGATGGTCGACCTCAGCATAGTTTCTTCTCAAAACTCCCCAACTGATCAAGTCAGGGTTTCATATGGGGCCATGACATGCCATGACTCTTGGTACCAACCTTTCGCCGTATCCGAAGTTCTTCTGCTTTTGACAGAGTCTTGGCAACTGAGTGCATCACCGAATTACCTTTGAGATGAAAAAATACATGCCTCAGAGGCTGAGCAAGGTTCTATGTCAAAGGATGCAACTGCTCCTCACTGAAATACCTGAAAACTGATTCCGTTTTGTGTTGCAGATTATTCTTTCCTGCAACACCGCTATACAAGGAGGTTTTTAGGGCTGATGTTTCAGGGAAGCAAGCAAAGGAATTGCCCATGTGGCCAAAAACACTTTCTCTACTCATGATATCATTGCCTGAAGACTTAGTTACCCTTCAGCTGGGGCCACGCTTGCAGGGTGCTAGCTAAATGAAAACAAACTGGCAGAGTCTACGCTTGAAAGAGTCTGTTAATGGTTGACCTTAACAATCCTAACGGCTTTCTGCAAAATGAAGAGAACACTTGCAGGTGTTCCCGTGATGCGTCCAAGTTGCGAAAAAGAAACCATGTCACGAGGTTCAACGCAAAAAATATTTCAGCAAGAAAGGTGCCACTTTTGGCATCCTTGGATAAAAACTCGCAACCAAAGGTGCATCAGCCGGATGTGATGAGGTCCGGAGTCAAAATTTCGAAAACCATCCATCAATGGTTCACTGTTCTGTTGTACAAATTGTGAAAGCTGATTGGTTCATCTATAGGTTTTCTCAAACGTAAGGGAATCACAAAATGAAATCAGCATTACATCTTGTCGATTTGGGATCTCTCACCCGACACACTTTCAGCCAGGATGCATAGCCCAAGTAGTTAACCATTTTCAACCTCTCCACACCCCCCTGGGTGAACAATATAACTCCCAGGTCACACCAACTGCACATTCCAGCGGTGCTTTCCATTGTCACAAATGTTTCTACGTTGGCCTACACACATTTCTGCTTCCAAGCGCGAACTGAGTTGCAATGGGTTGCGAAGTAGGAAGATATCAAGCGCGAAAACTAGAGATGACAGGTCATGTGTCAGCGCTTGGGGTGTGTTAGTCTTCGGAACTTGTGGAGATTGTGAGGGCGCTTAGAG